TCAGGTAGCATCAATTATTCACATCTTGCACGATCATTGTCACGATTAAAAAATGCAGAATGGATCAATCGAGTTAGTCCAGGAACATTTGAGACTTTGATGCGTCGCATTACAGAAGAATTAATTGAAAATGCTCAGAAGTTGGAAGAACAATTGAAGAGACTCGATTTTTATTTGAAACATCCAGAGAACGTAGCCATCGCACAGGACTTCGTTGAGAAAGTCGAGTCTATGAGAATTTTGGAGCGCAGCATTCCGGATCTTGAGAAGTACAGAGTTAGGATTCTAGATTTGTTTCGTGAAACAACACAAGGAGCATTCGATAGCATCCAACAGACTTTTAATTTGCAAGACAGAGATGTTTATACTTTGAAACAGCAGCTGAAAGACCTTGAAAAAATTAGAAATGAATACCAAAATTTGCAACCAGCTCAAAAATATTTACAAGGACAGGAATATTTGAATATAGATCAATTGAATGATGAGATTGAAGACGTTAGCAAAAAACTCAAGAAAGAGATTGATAAGAAAGAAGCTATGAAATGTGAGAAAGAAGAAAAGGTAAACGAGCTACAAGATATTATTCAGCAATACATGTTGATTAGAGATAAAAAGTCAGAAAACAATATAATGAAAAAGGTCATGGCCAAAGGAGCAGCGGTTCTCAATAAAGGAAAGTCAGAAGAAGATAATTGTTTGGAGGAGCACGGCTTTTCAAAAATAGACGACGCATATGAAGCTAAACTGAACATCACAAAAGAATATGACAAGAAACTACAACTAGTTCAAGAGAGCTGCAAAGCACTGAGTGATACATTAAATCGGCTTGAAGAAATAAGAAGAAAATATAAATCATTATTATTAGTAAGAAGCGACTCTGTTTCTTCTGAAGGAACGAAATATCTTCAAGAGAAAAAGCAAAACAGTATTGAATCATTGAACGCACAAATTCAAGAGAAGAAGAAAATTATTTCTGAACATGAGAAAAATAAGCAAACGTATGACTTTAGTGGCAGATTTGATGGTTCTGTTGCAAATAATTCATTATTGTACGTAATTCAATGCGAAAAAGTCGGAGATATTCATGTTAAAAAAACGGCAATTGAAACTAATGGGATCTTGCAAAAATATATAACTGAGTATGGGCATTTTCTGAACCAAGAAATAGCGAGACTGTATCAGAATGCAAAAAATAGTGAAGTTGAAGGAGGTCCTTTGCAGTATTCTCATGACCTAAACACTCGTTTAGAAGAATTATCTTCACTCAAAAGCTTTCCTGAAGTTTTCGAATGTGTGAAAGGAGCCGAGACAATGGCACATTGGCAGCGAGAAATCACGGATTGTTATGTTACTTTGGATCGTACGATGGAAGAAAATCAAAGCCGTGGTGACGGCGAAAATTTAAAAAAGCAATTAGTTATCGTGCATGCATTGAGTTGTTTGGATCGACTTCGTGGTGACACTCGATTTAGTGACTTATACAGAAAATACCAATTAGACATGAATAAGGATATTAAAGAGGCGTATAAGCAAGTATTAAGCTACGCATCTAAACGAGAGTATGCGAATGCAGGTAGAATACTATCTGACATTGATGATCAACCCTTAAATCAGAAGGCGAAAAAGCAGATAGAATACGAACTGCAAAGTTCGCTAGTCAATTTGATGAAAAATACGAAATGTACGGCACATTGGCTATATGGAAAAATCGAAAGAGAGGCAGATAATAAGGAACAGATAAAGGAGATTAAAGACAATATTGAAAGAATTCGAATAGCATTGGCTCAATGTAATCTTATGGATCTTCTAGGAGAAAAAACGAAAAGTGATCTGGAGAAATTCCAAACTGAAATCGACCAAATATTGTCTGATATTACTTTGAAAGGGCTTAATTCAATCGAAACATACATGAATAATGACAATTTTACCGAGGCCGAAGAAGGAATTGAAAACATCGGCAAAGTCCAACGTGAGCTTACCGGTATTATTACATCCCAAGAAATTATTAATAAGACTAATGAATTACGAGAGAAATTAGATAACTTGGCTAGGAATCTTCCGAATCAGAATGATTTTAGTAACATTGACAAGTACTTTGAGAGACCGCCCAGAGATCTCTTAGCTAAATTAAAACAAGTTTCAGCACGCAGTCCTCAATACCAGCAAGCTTACACAACTCTGTTAGGAAAACTAAGGCAGAATTTTAGTCTGGCAATAGATGAAGTTGGAAAGATTCCCATGAAGCAACGTTCCGCGAAACTACGTCCCATAAATCATGCGTTATGCTTTATACCAGATGAGTTGCAAGCTCCATTCAAAGCACATATTGAGGAAATGACTACGAGCATCAAGAATGAAGAACAAGAGTATAAGCGTGATTTAGACAGTTCTCTTAAATGTGCAGATGACAATGAACATGCATTCATGAAAATGAGCAAGCTTGCCGAACAATTTAAGGAGAAAAACATGGATGAATTTTCTGAAAAAATGAATGAAGAAATTTTAAGAAGATTGCAAATGTATCAAACAAACTTACAGAGTTCTTTAGATGAGAATGATATGCAAGCTGCTCTTGATATTATGGAAAAAATTATCCAATATAAAGGATCTGTATCTGAATACATTCCAGGAATAAAAGGGATCTATGAGACAACTCGCAAATCAACAATAAAAAGTTTTGAACGCTGCTCGAAAGTTCTTGCTGAGATATCGAAGATTGAAAAACCAGAAATTGGTGAAAAAGCACTCAGCAATACAATTGCTTGTGTTAATTTTTCCCATAAGCAAGACACTACTGACGGAAAATTCTTACCAGAAATTGCTATGCAAAACTGTACGAAAGATCTGAAGATAATGCGAGACTATTTCGAGGAAAATTCTAGAAACTATCAGGACGCTCTTAAAGAAATGGCCGTTGATAATTTACATACAGTTATAAGCATATCCAAGAAATGGGAAAAACTTTTGGATAGGGTTAAGGACTTTTCCATGAAGGATGGTGCAATGAAAAGTTTGATCCCAGACGTTCAAAATGTAGCTACACATGCCACTATGGTTTCTGATGTGTCCAAGGAAATAAAGTCTTTAAAAGCTCAACTAAATGTTGAACTTATCAGTGATGAAACCACCAAATTTGAAACCAAACGTGAAGAGTTTTTCAGTCAACTTAAGAAATCAATCAGTAAATTAAAAGAAATCGATGCTAAACTTCAAGATGTTCTGCCAACTCCCGTCAATGCAAAGGAATCAGAAGAGAATCTCAAAATGAAAGCTAAGAAAATTGGCAAACAGCTTCTTGATACTGCATCAAAACCCGAACTTAATCAAGTAGAATGTGATCATTTTCGCAAGTATTACGAGCATCTTATAGCTTTTGATAAGCATCTGAGTCTTCCAGATGTGGAGGCTCAATCAACTGTAGACACATCCACGGTAAAAGTTTTCGAAAAAGTAACATCGTGTTGTAAAGAATTTGCGAATTCTGGCAAAGATCTAGGGAAGGCCGCTGAGGCGTTAGTCGCAGTAAAATTATTTGCTGAAAATCTACCGATGTTTGATAGTCAAATCAATACAGACATAGATGAAGCACTAAAAAAGTCCAAATAAGAAAAATATGTGCGAGTAACTCAGGAACTTTGTCCTTGAAGG